ATAGCAGATAAGCTGCTCCAAGGTCAACGCCTAAGCTCAATAAATACCCATCTGCTAAAGGGTCTCAGGACATCTGTCAACCGTGAGCCTTGGCGGTTCAGCGTTTTGTAGTGATGTCTGGGAGCTCTCACAAGTGCACACTATCACAGCATCTCCTCTTTCTTTATCTTCTTCAAAAGGCTTAGTCCCAATAAGACACAAAGTGTGTGCTTTTCCAGCTACGCTCTCACCCTTTGGTTGACAGAAGCCTTGTAACCCTGCTAAGGCGGTTACAAGGCTTCTGTCAACCAAATGGTGGACGTGTACATTTACAGCAATTTTTGTGTAAGGCTGAGGCTATGCCTTTCATGGGAAAGCAAAGGAGTGAGAGATGCAGCCACAGCATGCTATTTTTTATGAATGGTTCGTCGTTTTTACCCATTCGTTGGTAGGATTCATTGCTAAAGAGTTTTTATACTTTCTTCTACCTAGGGAATCTTTTTCGGTGGAGGGTGGGTTGAAGGTTTCTTATGTGAAGTTTTGGAGGAGGATTGAGCAGTTTTCCCATGCTTTGGCTTCTGAGTAGTTGAGAAGAGTCATTATACAAACTTCGGCCGCAGAATGGGGGAGGGGGTCGTATTTCAAAATTTTTCTTGACGCCTCGCTCGACCCTGTCTGAATGAACAGCCGCGTCCTTGGATGAGGTTGTTAGAACAAGTATAAACCAAATTCTGCTCGCAATTTTAGAGAGTACTCTCTTTTCAGTCAACACCGACATCCTGACATCTCTGTTTGCATATTCCACTTCCCACCGCTGCACCATCAAAATTGCGTAACTATCATGTACAATGACATTTCAGCTGTGAACAGATTGTGTTACGCCCATGCAATGAAAAAAGTCTCACCCGCACCGTACTACAAATCGTTCGTGCAGAAATTATTGTTGTCGCTAATGCCAACAATAATTCCAGAATCGCGGCCGCAATGAGACCGGCATCTAGTCGAAAGTCGGTACCCAGACGAGTCATCGAGCTGAAGAAAAACTGACTTTACAACACATTAAACTAAATGCAACAACGCACGCATTCCATTGATCCTGCACTTTCTCACAGCATATTTGTACTTATGCAAAATGCCTTTTCTGATAAATATCGACTTTCAAATCGCAAAGGCCCATGTCAGACTTTGCGATACGAACGTTGTACCAGCGGATCGAACCATGTACCAGCGACTCAACACTGTTTGAAAGTGGCGGGACCCAACGTTTAAAGGAAGCCCGCCACTTTCAAACAGTGTGTTCCTTAAAGTGGACTTCCTTTAAACGTTGGGTCCCGCCACTTTCAAACAGTGTCGAGTCGCTGGTACATCGTTCGATCCGCTGGCACATAGTTCGATCCGCTGGTACACAGCTCGATTCGCTGGTGCAACGCTCGAACCGCTGGATACGCAGAGTCTGACATCGGCCAAAATGAAACGTCTCAACCCCGTTACACTTTTGAACGGTCCAAAAAGGAAAAAAGCTAGGCAAATGAATGAAATAATTGACAAAGTTGCAATACTCAATACTACTGAGCCGCTCGAACGTGATGAATCGCTTCTGGAAGTTCTGGGCAGGGTAATCCAGGTTAAAAATTTCCTAACAATTGTTTTAAACTCGTGGTAGGATGAAGTTGCCTATTTGTAATTTTTGCTTAGGGGATTTATATGTTGTGTATTGGGTGCACTGGAGATAGTGAAAGATAAGGAAGTGAGAAATAGCGTGATAGTAAATACGTGAATATTAGGCGGGATGGAAGTGTGTCATTTAGCACGGAGTCCAGTTGAACGAAGTATATCAAAGGTGGGGCTAATGAGGGAGGAAAAAAGACACAGGGCAAGTTTACATAATGGCTGAAAACCTCTTGACGGGTTCCCTGGTCCCTGGTTGCGAAAGGTCTACTGCTAGCGTTGCTTCGTAAGCGCGCAACGGGCGCTCATGATTAGTGCTGACGTATGATCCACCAATCACACCTCGCACACGCACATTACATCGTTAACCGAATAAACGATCTATTAAACGTTGATATGAGCATAAAAAGAGTAAATGACTTACACTCTCATATTATCGTCGACATGGTCACCACACATGATCTGACAGCGACTGTTTCGAGGTAGCGAAGTCGCCAATAAATGCCAATCACATTCGCCCCAGCATTCATGCTAAAAAAAACTTCATGATTTCTTGACAAACTGACACCATCTAGAAGGAAATCTAGCACTCTGTCGTGGGTCAGAATAACAGAGCAATAATGAATTGCAGAATTCCAACCTGATAAAAGTGAATGTCGAAGCTCGACACGATTATGATAGCCGGCACAAAAATGATGATTGCATGGATTGACATGACAAGAAACGTAATTACTAGCCCTCTTCTATATGAGGCTGCACCACATAAACCCACTAGTCTGCAAAGAAACATTTGAATTTCAAAAAAAAAACAATGTCAAAAGCAAAAAAATACATGAGCACCCGGACCAATATTTGGGTCTCATTCGGTAAGAGGATGATTGCGGTGTACAGTCTGCTCTAATGCCAGCTTGGCTCAAGGTCACAATTAAGGTTAGAAGCTGCTATAAGCCTTCCTACATTACTTTTCAGGTGTTTTGTATAATGAAGTGCACTTGTGCCGGATGGCATAAACGTATGAAACGTATATATTCACCTGGTGAGCAGCTAGAACTAAACCTAGAAAGGGAGAGAAATTCCCCCAACGAAAACGACGATTGCTCACGGACATGGGAGTCTTACTCCCTGTTGAAGCTTAGGCTGCTGTCAGAGTCCGCGATCCGTCGCAGGTTTCGCGCAAATCGCGAAAATCAGCGAAACCTGCGACGGATCGCGGACTCTGACACCAGCCTTAGTCCTGAACGTTTACAATGAAAATCTGCGTTTCGAAGGCGTTGAGCGCTAAATATCGCAATGCGAAGCGAAGCTAGCGAATGAGACCCCAACAACCCCTGCAACCCTGAATAATTCTATAAGAGATGAATAACAGATGATAATCATTAATATGAACATACCCGGTAACAATGAAGTAGAACGAGCAACATTCTTCTAGTCCATACATACGGATAGTATTTATTCGGCTGCTGACATAGTCAGCCAAGGTTGACAGAATAAGCATAATCAAACCCAAAATAACGTGACATTGCGCCAATGCCTGAAATCAGTGTAAAAAATCGACTACTCAACTACTAGAACACTGTCACATAAATCACAACGTATACCACAAACTTGGCCTGGATTGTGCAATAATTCTTATAGCTGCGCAAAAAAGTCACGTATTCATATCCGCACGAGTCTGAATGTATTCCGTTGGAGCTGCACCATGACAATTCAGGAGTAATGGTATACGGTGTTCAAAGATCTTAACGACCAATAACTTTTATACTATCGAACCGAAGTTGGTTCTGAGGTTTACGACCTACGTTGAAGCTAACCCACTGTTGGCTATCTGCGTGAATTCTTTGAAGAAACAGCCTCTGTAGTCAGGGCGGATCATCACCATTTTTCAGGTGACTATAATA